ATGATCTCGGCAACTCCGGTGTCCACCACGTCCTTGCCTCCGGAGCCAACGTCAACATGCTCGTCATTGATTCGCAGCCCTACTCCGAACGCACCGCCGCGGACCCCACGCGCAGAAAGAAGGACATTGGTCTGTATGCCATGAACTTTGGCAACGCCTATGTTGCTTCCGTCGCCGTCTACGGCTCGTACACCCAGGTTCTCCAGGCTATGGCTGAGGCCGAGCAGTTCAAGGGTCCCTCCGTTGTTGTTGCCTACCTCCCCTACAACCAGGAGAACGACTCTGCCTTGACTGTACTTCAGGAGACCAAGAAGGCTGTTGACCTTGGTTACTGGCCGCTGTACCGCTGGAACCCCGGCAACGATGAGAACGACGAACCTAAGTTCTCTCTGGACTCTGACCGGATCCGGCGCGAACTTGAAGAGTTCCTTCGCAGGGACAACCAGCTTACCCAGCTCATGAACCGTCACCCCAAGTACTCAGCTGTGCTTTCTGAGTCTTACGGAACTGAGGTCCGCTCTCTTCAGAAGCGCCAGGCTAAGGACTCTTACGAGAAGCTCCTTGAGGGTCTCTTCGGTGCTCCTCTGACCATTCTCTTCGCCTCCGACAACGGCAACGCCGCGACTCTGGCGAAGCGCCTCGGCAACCGCGGTCGTGCCAGAGGCTTGAAGACCATGGTCATGGCCATGGATGACTATCCCCTTGATGATCTCGCCACCGAAGAAAACGTGGTCTTCATCTCCAGTACTGCCGGTCAGGGTGAATTCCCCCAGAATGGCCGTGGCCTGTGGGAGTTCGTGAAGAACACCGGTGACTTGGATCTGTCTTCCATCAACTACTCCGTTTTCGGTCTTGGTGACAGCCACTACTGGCCGCGTAAGGAAGACAGAATCTACTACAACAAGCCCGCCAAGGACCTTGATGCTCGTATCGCCTTCCTTGGTGGACGCAAGCTGACCGACATTGGACTCGGTGACGACCAAGATCCCGATGCCTTCCAGACCGGCTACTCCGAGTGGGAGCCTCGTCTCTGGCAGGCTCTGGGTGTGGACAAGGTCGAGGGTCTGCCGGAGGAGCCTGCGCCGTTGACCAACGAGGATATCAAGATCCAGTCCAACTACCTGCGTGGTACCATCGCCGAGGGACTGCTGGATGAAACCACTGGTGCTATCTCCGCCAGTGACCAGCAGCTCACCAAGTTCCACGGTACTTACATGCAGGATGACCGTGATGTCCGTGACGAGCGCAAGGCCCAGGGTCTTGAGCCTGCTTACAGCTTCATGATCCGTTGTCGACTGCCCGGTGGTGTGGCCACTCCCCTCCAGTGGCTGCAGATGGATGCTATCAGTAGCTCTCATGGTAACGAGACCATGAAGTTGACTACCAGACAGACCTTCCAGTTCCACGGTGTTATCAAGCGCAAGCTCCGCGGCGCAATGCGCGCTATCAACAAGTCGCTCATGACCACCATTGCTGCTTGCGGTGATGTCAACCGTAACGTCATGTGCAGTTCCCTCCCTGAGCTTTCTTACTTCCACCGTGAGACGCACGCCGTCGCCCAGAAGATCAGTGATCACTTGCTTCCCGCGACTACTGCGTATCACGAGATCTGGTTGAAGGATGAGGACGACAAGAAGGTCCAGGTTGCGGGCGACGCTGTTGTTGACCATGAGCCGCTTTACGGTCCCACTTACCTTCCCCGTAAATTCAAGATCACCATTGCCATTCCTCCCCACAACGATACCGATGTCTACGCACACGATATTGGTCTGATCGCCATCAAGGGCGCCGATGGACACCTGGAAGGTTTCAACATCACTGCCGGTGGTGGTATGGGTGCTACTCACAACAACAAGAAGACCTACCCCCAGACGGGACGCATGTTCGGTTACGTCCCTGCTGACCAGGCTCACATTGTCTGTGAGAAGATCATGCTCGTCCAGCGTGACCACGGTGACCGCAAGAACCGCAAGCACGCTCGTCTAAAGTACACCATCGACGACATGGGCGTGGATGCCTACAAGGAGAAGGTCGAGGCCCTTCTTCCCGAGGGCCTGCGCTTTGCCGAGCCCCGTCCCTTCAAGTTCGTTTCGAACGTTGATACCTTCGGCTGGCTGAAGGACGAGAAGGGTCTCAACCACTTCACGTTCTTCATCGAGAACGGACGTATTGAGGACACCGCTGACTTCAAGATGCGCACTGGTCTGCGTGAGCTTGCCAAGCTCGACAAGGGCGAGTTCCGTCTCACCGGTAACCAGCACTTGATCCTGTCCAACATTGAGGATGCAGACCTTCCCGCCATCAAGGAGCTGATGGCTCAGTACAAGCTCGACAACACCTCCTTCAGCGGTCTGCGTCTTTCTTCGTCTGCTTGTGTTGCCTTCCCCACCTGTGGTCTTGCCATGGCTGAGTCCGAGCGTTACCTCCCGGTTCTTATCGGCAAGCTGGAGTCCACTCTTGAGGAGGTCGGTTTGGCCAGCGACAGCATTGTCATGCGTATGACTGGTTGCCCCAACGGTTGTGCCAGACCCTGGCTTGCTGAAGTTGCTTTCGTTGGTAAGGCCTATGGTGCGTACAACATGTACCTCGGTGGTGGTTACCACGGCCAGCGTCTGAACAAGCTCTACCGCTCTTCGATTAAGGAGGATGAGATCCTCGATATCATGAAGGGTCTTCTCAAGCGTTACTCCCAGGAGCGTAACACTGATGGCGAGACCCCTGAGAGATTCGGAGATTGGTGTATCCGTGCGGGTGTCATCAAGGCGACCACCGACGGACAGAACTTCCACGAAGGAGTATGTTGACCCTTTTTTATCCATTCCATTTGACCCCTTACTAACAACTTCTACAGGTTGCTGAAGATGACGAGGACGAGGAGTAGACGTTGGAGATATCCCAAAAATAATGCCTTTGAATAGTCGGCATTCATGTGATACTGTTATACATCAAGAAGTTTTATGAGTTTTACGACGATACAGCTATTCTGTACATACTGTTGATGACCAAATTATTGTCGCATCTGCATTCATAGCTGTGATTGTAAAATGTACACTTTTCCAATTGTTACTCTTGAAACAGCCACTAACTGGCATTTAGTAAACTATAGATCCTTTACTCTTAGACATGATTGTAGACTGCTTCTTCCCTTATAGATCTACCCCTCAAACAAGAAGGCGGTGTAAACCCATAGATTCTGCAAGCGGGCAGCTTATCAAACCTCCTCCGCCTCCGATAAAGCAAAGAAAAAGTTGCAAAAAAACCCGAACACCCCGCAAAGCACGCAGCCATTGCAAGCTCTCCTCCCATTTATTATACCCCCAGATCCCTCTAATTAGTCTCCCACGACCCTTCAACCCATGACCACTTTCTTATAATTACCACCCCAACAACGCCCACCCACCCAACCTACCTACCCACCATGGACCCCACCGACGACCCCGTCATCGCCTCCTACGACATCTGCCTCACCGACTCAGAAATCTCGCGCTACGTCCTACAATACCTCGACCGACCCACGGGCTCCGCATACGACGACCGCCACGGCCAGAAACCCACCTCCTTCCGCCTGAAGCCCAAGACGGGGCTGGTGGAAGTCGACGTCCCCATCAACACACGCGTGAACTACGATGTCAGCAAGGGATTGCGCTACGGCGATGCATTGAAGAAGAGCAAGAGTGCGCGCGAAGGCGGCGCGTTTGGTATGGCGGGTGGGTTTAGTTCCGGGGGTGCTGGTGGTGCGCCGGCGAAGGTGAAGATGGAGGATGCGGCGGATGCGAAGAGTGAGACGGCGTCGTTGATGAGGGTGCAGACGCTGGGTGGGAGGATCAAGAGTCCCGAGGATGGCGATCCGGTTTATATGCTGGCGGCTTTCAGGGGGGGTAAGTTGATCCCTTCTTTTAATTGGGGAGGTATGGGCTAATGGGGTTTTGTTTGGGGATAGACAAGTTGCATCTTTCGCCTGTTTCGGCTGTTGTGCAGTTACATCCACAGCTTCATCACCTTGATGCTTTGGATGAGATGCCTACGAAGGGTAAGGGGAAGGCGAGGAAGGAGGGCGAGGAGGATCGTCCCGGTGAGAGCGAGGCTAGGGCTATTGATGTTAAGATCAAGGCCGCGGAGGATGGTGAGGCGGCACAGGTTGCGGGCAATCTGGATCTTTTGAAGAAGATGCAGGATGAGAAGTGGAAGGATTATGAGTGGGTTGATGCTGAGGTGAGTGTTATACTGGTTGATGTTGATTTATTGGGTTTATGGGAATGCTTGCTAATGTGGGTGTATTTCTTTCTGGCAGACTGAGGAGTCGTGGCAATTGTACGAGAACTACATGATGCATCAGGACGTGGATAGTCTGCCGCAGCTGCAGTCGGCGATCGATAGTGAGAGTTATCTGGATACGATGAGTGCGCCGCGGATTGATCCTGCACGACCGGAGATGACGGGCTGGGCTATGAAACAGAACCGCATGAAGCAGCGGGAGGAACAGCAGTCTGCTGAGGGGATAACGGAAGGGTGATTAGTTGCATTTGCTGGGGGTAATATGATATGCAAAATTACGAATGCTGAATGACTTGCACATAAGCTTGGAAACTTCGAAAGGCGTATACATTGTAGTAAAGGCTGTAGGCAGTACCTCACGGCTAAGTTTGCAAGGTGGAGAATAGACTTTAGGGGAGTCGGACAACCATATTTTCTCTGGCGATGGAGAATATGGTGAAGCATACAGCTCCTCAACAGCCCAGTATTCTACATATTGCTTTAGTGGGCCTGTTCCATTTGCCATCAAGATCATCGCTGCTGGACGAATTCAATGGAAGAAAACACAGACGAAGCCTTCAGCCAATGAGCGCGTGGAAAACACCGACGATCTTCCAGAACATCACGTGCCACTCACGTGCCTTATCGCCCAATCGGGGCGGTGGACCAATTTTCACTTCCGTCCGCCGAAGTCTCCGTCTCGACTGGAGATCCGTTTCGCAGTTCTCGCCTTCACGCCTTTTTCTCTTCTCTCTCCTCCTCCCCATCCTCCCTTTCCTTTCCCTCTTTTGTTCCCTTCCTCGGTCGTTGAAGGGCTGCAGGACGGCTTGTCAGATTGGATAGATGTGCACCATCTGATAGGTTTTTTATCTGGGTCATTTGCATCCATCCTGCATCTATTTCCGACTTCCTTCTCTACTATAGTTTTTTAGACGCCCTGTTTTGTTTTGCATCTAATCATCTCCCTTCTTTATAATTGCAAATAATCAGCGATATACCTCTAATTGTCTATCATCGCGTCTAGCGGTGTTCGTGTATCATGTTGTCCCGTGTTGCTCTTCAGAAAAATGCCTTCGCTCGTCTGCGCCTTGCAAAGGGGCGCTCGGTATTGCCTTCACCTGCAACACTGAGACTTCATTCTCAATCGAGTCGACCCTCCGCTTTCACAAACACAGTTGCAAACACCCCCCAGGAACGTCCTCGCCGGCCATCCTTCCAGTCGAGTCGAAGCCTCGCCACTGCCGCCGACCAGTCCGCCATTGACCAAGGGTCGTATGGATCTTTCGAATCGCCTGCGTATAACCCCGAGCAGTACTTCGATCACCACCTGTCCTCGTTTTTCTCTCCCCTCGCCCATGAATTCGATCCCTCCTCTTTGGTCATCGTGGATGATGCACTACAAACAAAACCGAAGGTGTTGCGGAGAGTGAAGGGCCTTGGTGGTGATGAAGAAGAAATGCTGGCAAATTTCGACCTTTCATTGAGACTTCACCGCTACGATCGTGCTGCTATTCTCCTTTCCAGACTTAGAGGATGCTATCCCCCAGCTTCTCCTAAGTACCTGGCCCTTCACAACCGCTACCTCGAGGGCATGGTTTCGCAGATGATCTTGACGAGGCAGCACAACCTTGTCTTGCCAATGCAGAAGTTTTTCGAAGTTGACCTGCCGGCATCTGGTGTGGTTCCCGACGCGACAACCTATGCAGTGATGATTCGGATGGCCCTGCGGATGTTCCACGGTACCAAGCGTGATCGAGCAGTGCGCAGATACTGGGAATTTGCGAAGAATGCCTCTCTTGAAGAGGAAGTTCTGGCTGCTCCTGTTCTCTCTGAACTGGAAGTTGGTGAGCTATCAGAGGTGAGCTTGATTCAAGTATCTACATTTGATCAATTTTGCTAATAGCAACGTCGAATAGATCTGTTCCTCCGATATCCAGCGCGTCTCCATGGGTAGCTTGGATAGCAACGCTGTTACCGAAGATCCCCTCGCGGATGCAGCCGATCTGCCGGAAGTCAAAGCCGTCGAACAGAAGGGTCTCGGTCTCTCTTCTTTGAGGGAATCGCTTTCGCTTTTTAACGGTCCTTCGAAGGTGTCCGCTCCCGCGGAAGGCGAGTACACAGATGCGGAGTCCCGAGAAATGTACAACCTGTCCAGGCAAAAACAGCTCGAAGCCAATTCTATCCAGGCGGCCCTCAACCGCTGGAGGCAAGAGACCATTGACCGACAGAAGGCCGGCCTTAATACTACTGGAAGCGAGAAGCGCCTGGGCAGTATCATCAACCAATGGCACACCGATCTTGTGTCCCGAATCGAGGCGGAGCTGAAGCTTGTGGAACAATCGGAGGCCAAGCCCCCTCGGACGTTGGAGGATACGGAGCGCTGCGAATACGGCGTCTTCTTGCGTTGCGTTGACTCGGACAAGCTGGCCGCTCTCACCATCCTGAGCGTTTTGTCTTCGTTTGGACGGGGAGGCATGGATTCAGGACTGAAGCTCGCTTCGATCGCTACTGGAATCGGCTCCGAACTCCACGATGAATTCCTCGCTGAACTCACTCTCAAGAAAGAATCTGCAGCTGATGCTGCACGACTCAAGGCGGTTAAGCAAACCCTCTCCCTTCGCAAACAAAAAGACGGTCGGGCAAAGTGGCACACCATTGTCCGAAACCTGGAGCAGGATGACCCTGCTGTTGCTTGGTCAGCTCGTGTGAAGGCCAAGGTTGGAGCTGCCTTGATGAGTTTCCTCTTCGAAGTCGCCAAGGCTCCTGTGAAAATCGACAACCCCGAAACGAAGAAGCCTGAGATTTCCATGCAGCCTGCCTTCCAGCATGCTTATCAAATCAACTGGGGTAGACGTGCTGGATTCATCCATTTGCACCCTGAAATCGTCAAGATAGTCACCAAGGAGCCTACGTCTGATCTCTTGGGCCGTCATTTGCCCATGTTGAGCAAGCCTAGGCCGTGGAAGGGTGTATCCGATGGTGGATACCACGTTTACAAGAGCAACCTTATTCGTACGACTCCCGGTGAGACATTGCAGCCCGCTTATGTCAAGGCAGCATTGGAGAACAATGGACTTGAGCAAATCCGTCAGGGACTGGATATTCTCGGTAACACCGGGTGGGTCATCAACGAAGATGTTTTCAAGGTTATGCTTGAAGCTTGGAACTCTGGAGAACCTGTCGCCGATCTCGCCCCGCTGGAGCCCGAATTGCCTCATCCTCCTAAGCCATCCCCAGAGGAGGGCTACGAAGCCGAAAAGAAATGGGACAACGACATGCGTGAGATTGAAAACCGCAGAGCCGGTTTCCACTCCCAGCGTTGTTTCCAGAACTTCCAGATGGAGGTGGCTCGCGCGTACAGGAACGAGACCTTCTACCTGCCTCACAACTTGGATTTCCGTGGTCGTGCCTATCCTCTTCCGCCTTATCTCAACCAAATGGGAGCAGACAATGCGAGAGGTCTGCTGCTATTCAGCCAAGCCAAGCCGCTTGGAGAGAGTGGACTGAGGTGGCTGAAGGTTCAGATTGCTAACTTGTCTGGATTCGACAAGGCGAGTCTCTCTGAACGTGAGAAGTTCACTATGGATCATTTGGACGATGTGCTTGACTCTGCCAACAACGGTCTTCATGGCAGGCGTTGGTGGCTGAAGGCCGATGATCCGTGGCAATGCTTGGCTGCCTGCTGTGAGTTGAGGAACGCGCTCCAGCACCCGGATCCCACTCAATTCGCATCTCGCCTTCCCGTCCATCAGGATGGTTCGTGTAACGGATTGCAGCACTATGCAGCATTGGGTGGTGACAAGATTGGCGCTCAGCAAGTCAACCTTGAACCGTCCGATCGCCCGTCTGATGTGTATACTGGTGTCGCCGAGTTCGTTAAGGAAGCAGTTGCCCGGGAAGCTGCGCAGGGTCACAGCGTGGCCAAGTACTTGGACGGCAAGATTACCAGAAAGGTGGTGAAGCAAACCGTCATGACGAACGTGTACGGTGTGACCTTCATGGGAGCCATGAAGCAGGTTCGCAAGCAACTTATTGATCACTATCCCGAACTCTCCCAGGATCAGAAACACCAGGGAGCCATCTACATTGCACGGAAGGTCTTCGAGGCGTTGGGCACCATGTTCAACGGTGCCCACGATATCCAGTACTGGCTGGGTGACTGCGCCAGTCGTATCACGCAGTCGCTGTCTCCGGAACAGATTGAGCAAATTGCCAAGGAGGCTATGAACCCCGAGGAAGCGAAGCAGATGGAGGATCCGACGAAGAAGTTCCGGTCTACCGTGATTTGGACTACTCCCCTTGGCTTGCCTGTTGTCCAGCCCTACCGGGTTCGCAAGGCTCGCCGTATCTACACTACACTTCAGGATTTGAGCATTGTTGATGGCAGCTCGGGGGATGTGGTCTCTAAGCGCAAGCAGCTGCAAGCCTTCCCCCCCAACTTCATCCACTCTCTCGATGCCACCCACATGATGCTGTCTGCGATCGCATGCCACCGCGCCGGGCTTCAGTTTTCCGCCGTCCACGATTCTTTCTGGACTCACGCCTGTGACATCGACTCGATGAACCAGCTGCTTCGTGAGGCGTTCGTGCGTATGCACTCGGACGACGTGGTCAAGAGGTTGGCTGCAGAGTTCGAGGTCCGGTACAGCAAGAATCTCTTCCTCGCCAAGGTGGACGCCAGCAGTGCCCTGGGACAGAAGATCAAGGCCCTGCGGAAGGGATCAAAGGCTTCTCAGAAGGCCCTCAAGGTTCAGGAGCTGTTGGAGGAACACAAGCGACAGAAGCTCTTGCAGGCGGAGGACCCGGAGCTTCAGGCTCAGGGACGTGCCATGGTGACCCCGGCCAGCATTTTCGAGCAATTTGGAAGCGACGAGGATCTGGCGATCGCCAGTTCTTTGGGAGAGACAGCGGTCGGCCACGTGCCGGAAGACCTGGCGGCTGCGGAGCGCAAGATCTCCGGTATGGAGGCTGACCCTACCGATCCGGCCATCGAGACCCTGTTCCAGGGCTTCGACAATGTCCTCGGAGCGAAGGCGGATCCCCACGAGGAGCTGCCTACGGAAGAGTCGGCACCGAGCAAGCGCAAGCAGGCCAAAAAATCGTATGTGCATGTTTGGCTGCCGTTGCGGTTCCGTGCCGTCCCGACCAAGGGTACATGGGACGTGACACGGATCCGCGACAGCAAGTACTTCTTCTGTTAAGGCGGGAACGCCCTGGAACGCTCGGGCGCATTTGCCTAGGCCGGGGTCAGTTCGCGCGGGCCACGGCTGTCTCTGCTTATGGCGCTCTGGCATGGAGCTTGGTCTCGGTAGGACCGTGTCCTGCCCTGATCCTTCTCCGGATGTCGTCGCCCCTTGTACATTTATTGACCTTCTGGTGATCTCACAATTTCGGGTTTCTACAATACGTATAATAACCCGGTTGGGATCTCTCTCACTTTTTTTTAATACCTGGTTCTGGTTGTTTCTAGCATGGTTATACTGCATGGGATTGGGATGCATGAATGAACGTGTACAGTGTTGTTTCAAGTTGTTTGATATCATTGTGTTGGCATAAAAAATGGGGAACTGGTGTATATAATTGGGATGGAATTTATTGACCACATTGTATATATGAAATGAAATGCACAGAAGTGAATTGTGACTGACCTTGTGAGCAGCGTAAAACCTCCCATTGGACGTGACCCGCACGAGGGTCGGAGATAAGCTGACGTGCAGGGCGTAGAATTAATTGCCTTCATTGGGAGCGAACCCTGCATGGGCCGAAAGTCTGGAGAGAGTTTTTAGTCTGTTTGATTTGAGAAGTGCGGAGAGCCAACGATTGCCGGTTGCTTGCCTGCTGTTCGCTTCTCTCTCTCTCTCTCTTCCCCCCTCTCCTCTCCTCTCCATCTATCCGATGAGCCTTGTCATTGGTCCAAGGACAGCATGGCTCATGGATGCATGCAGGAGAGCCGTCCACCGTGTCTGGTCACTCTGCGTGGGATTGCATGATGGGCAACGATGGCATTGACCTGACGATCCGGAGAGAGCCCCGACTTGGTGGCCCTCCGTCTGGCGCTTCCCCGCCTTTTTCCCCTGCAATTCTGCATCCCCATTCCATCTTCTTTTTATTTCCTTTTGCCTCCTTAGGCTGTGCTCATTTCCCCCTCCCCCCTCCTTCTCCCTCGTCAGCTATTCATCAACAGCAATGCGTGAGGGTCTGCTATTAACTGCCATCCGTGTTCACTGTCTGATGGTCTGACCCGACCGTGGTGTTCTGTGGTGAGAGAAGAAGAAGAAGAGGAAGAAGAGCTTCGGCAGTCACCTCCCCCGGACCTGCCCACCGAACTAAAACCAAACCACCTCCCCCAACTGGTTAGTTGCTACTTAGTCTGTCTTTCCTTAGTTTCTTTCTGGTCGGCCTTGTCACTCCTCCGGCTGACTGTCTCCTCTTCTGCTGCTGCCTTCTAGGTCCCTGTTTTTTAGTCCGTGTTTTAGTTGCCCCGCAGACTGAATCGGCAATGCCGTGGAGTTGATCGCTTCTTACTTTCCTTGCGACCGCTTCTCTGCTTCCTCGTCTTTCCCTCCTGCCTGCCCTCCTGGTCGTAAAATCGTCTGCCTTTCGTCCAGGGTCCGTCGCTCCAGTGTCGCCTTAATTTCCTCTCCCGCTAGCGTAGTGCCCTTTCACGCTTGGGGCCTTACGGCCCTTCCATTCGCCAGCGGTCTGACTACCTCATACCCCGACGACCGGGGTCTTCATGACCCGCTCTGGGTTGACTGTTCCGCCCGGTGAGGATGTCAACTCCCTCGATTCCTCAATTCCCCAGTCCTTTCTCTCCTTTCTCTTCCGGATCGCAGTCGACGGGGATGGCGCCGTCTCAGACTGTCGGGTTGGATACGCTTGCCGAGGGCTCGCAGTACGTCCTGGAACAATTGCAGCTGTCGCGAGACGCTGCGGGAACTGGTGCCGGCGACGGCGCGACCTCCACTTCCTTGCGAAATTCCATGTCGCATGCGAAAGATCAACCACTTTTCGACGACGAGAGAAACCAGAGCGCTGGTTCCGGTTTCAAAAACACTCTGCAAAGAGATCCCCTCGTTGAGGCTCGCTCTGCCATTCGCAAAAACTCCTCGTCGGCTCCAGTCCGCCGCCGGATCAGCCGTGCCTGTGACCAGTGTAACCAACTCCGAACGAAATGCGACGGGCAGCATCCGTGCGCTCATTGCATTGGTAGGCTTCCGCTCTTTTCTCCGATGCCGGCGACACGCTGGGCGCTTGACTGACATGCTGCAGAATTTGGATTGACCTGCGAGTATGCGCGAGAACGCAAGAAGCGCGGCAAAGCGTCGAAGAAGGACCTGGCAGCGGCAGCGGCGGCGGCCACTCATGGGTCAAATGGTCATTCAGGGCAGGCCAACGCGTCGCTGATGGCTGAGCGGACGTCTGAAGACAGCCGGCCAGCGCAAGACGTCAACGGCCGATACGACTCGACCTTTGAGAGCCACCATATCAGCTCGCAGCCCTCGCATATGCAGCATGCGAACAACTCCGGTATATCCGGTCTGCATGACTCCCAGACGGCGCCGTCGCATTCGCAGCCATCGCTAGGAACGACCATCGATGCGATGCATCTAGGCCATTTTAATACGCTGAATGATTCCGGTCGCCCGGCGATGTCCATGTCCGACCTTCGATCGTTACCCCCGTCCGTTCTACCACCTCAAGGCCTGAGTTCCGGGTACAACGCGAGCGCATTCGCTTTAGTTAATCCGCAGGAACCGGGCTCACCAGCTAACCAGTTTCGCTTGGGAAGCTCAGCGGAAAACCCAACCGCACCGTTCCTCGGTCTCTCACCTCCAGGGCAATCGCCTGGATGGCTCCCTCTTCCTTCGCCATCTCCTGCCAACTTTCCTTCTTTCAGCCTGCATCCGTTTTCCAGCACTTTACGATACCCTGTTTTGCAGCCGGTTCTGCCACATATTGCCTCCATTATCCCGCAGTCACTAGCGTGTGACCTTTTGGATGTTTACTTCCATAGTTCCTCCCCTTCCCATCTGTCTCCGTCGTCCCCATACGTGGTGGGCTACATCTTCCGCAAACAGTCCTTCCTCCACCCGACGAAACCCCGACTATGCAGTTCTGGTCTCCTGGCGAGTATGCTCTGGGTAGCCGCGCAGACCAGTGAAGCCCCTTTCTTGACATCGCCGCCCTCGGCTCGGGGCCGTGTATGCCAGAAACTGCTGGAATTGACGATCGGTTTGCTCCGACCGTTGGTCCATGGCCCTGCTACCGGCGAAGCGTCCCCCAACTATGCGGCGAACATGGTTATTAATGGCGTCGCTCTGGGCGGATTCGGAGTTTCCATGGATCAGCTGGGCGCGCAAAGTAGCGCCACCGGGGCCGTGGATGATGTGGCGACCTATGTGCATCTTGCGACGGTGGTGTCCGCCAGCGAGTACAAGGCAGCCAGCATGCGCTGGTGGACTGCGGCGTGGTCTCTAGCGCGCGAGCTGAAGCTAGGCCGTGAGCTGCCACCCAATGTCTCTCACGCACGACAAGATGGAGAGCGAGATGGGGATGGAGAGGCAGATAGGCGGCATCCTCCAACTCTTATTACATCGCTAGGCCACGGACCGGGAAGCTCCGGCATCAATGTCACCGAAGAGGAGCGGGAAGAGCGCCGGCGCCTGTGGTGGCTCTTATATGCGACAGATCGGCACCTGGCGTTGTGCTACAATCGCCCCCTCACGCTGCTGGACAAGGAATGTGGCGGGCTGTTGCAGCCGATGAACGATGATCTGTGGCAGGTCGGCGACTTTGCGGCGGCTGCCTACCGCCAGGTCGGACCACCCGTCGAGTGCACGGGTCACAGCATGTATGGATACTTCCTGCCGCTGATGACGATTCTTGGAGGGATCGTCGATCTGCACCACGCCGAGAATCATCCGCGCTTTGGCCTGGCGTTTCGCAATAGTCCGGAATGGGAGCGTCAGGTCCAGGACGTTACGCGGCAGCTGGACACATACGGGCGCAGCTTGAAAGAGTTCGAGGCTCGCTACACCAGCAACCTGACTCTAGGGACTGCGGATAATGAACCTGCCGTGGAAGGTGCCCATTTGGACCACACGAGTCCTTCAGGTCGTTCCAGTAGCACCGTGGGATCACGGGTGAGCGGGTCCATCATGCACACGAGGATGGTCGTCGCCTACGGGACGCATATCATGCATGTCCTGCATATTCTGCTCGCGGGCAAGTGGGACCCAGTCAACTTGTTGGAAGACCATGATTTGTGGATCTCGTCGGAGTCGTTTGTGTCGGCCATGAGCCACGCGGTCGGTGCGGCGGAAGCAGCAGCAGAAATTTTGGAGCATGATCCAGATCTCAGCTTCATGCCGTTCTTTTTCGGGATTTACCTGCTACAAGGCAGCTTCTTGCTGCTACTGGCGGCGGACAAGCTGCAGGGCGATGCCAGTCCAAGTGTTGTGCGGGCATGCGAGACAATCGTGCGGGCGCACGAGGCGTGCGTAGTGACCTTGAACACAGAGTACCAGGTAGGCCTTTTGTTAATTCCCTTATTAGTATTGATAACTAATGCTACGTAGCGAACATTTCGCAAGGTCATGCGATCGGCGCTGGCGCAGGTTCGAGGACGCATCCCGGAGGACTTTGGGGAGCAGCAGCAGCGGCGACGCGAAGTGCTTGCGCTATACCGCTGGAGCGGCGACGGCAGTGGGCTGGCACTGTAGCGTGGAGTTACAGCTGACGATGAGATGTGGTTTATGGCGCGCATTGACCGGTCAATGGCTTCTTACATTCTATCTGATACTATTGGATTCGCTATCTACTCCGGGCTTATGCTGGCTTCATTGTCTAAGGGGATGGCATGGCGAATGGAAGATATGCTTACTTCGTGTTGATATGGATTCGTACATATACTTGGGGATATATGTGGATATTTGTGGCATGTACACTATGCGTGATGCTGATTTTGAACTGATACTGATACTGATACTTTGATACCTGGTCAATCTAATTGCTTTTTAATGATTTGTTGTGCAACAGCCGAGGTATGACGCCATGGCTGAGATAAGCTGCCGATAAGCATGCATCGGAGCACCAAAACCTTCATACAAACAATCACCTCAACCACCGCAATGACAATACCATAGTAATCCCTCTAAACATGACCTCAATAACACGCTCTTTCCGCCCTCTCCACCCCTCTTCTTTCCTGCGACCCCCACCCAAATGTACATATAGATATACCCCAAAGCGCCACCTCGGCATCCCCCCCGCCTACCTCCTCGACGACTACATTCCCCGCTACCAACTCCTCTCCTCCGTCGACGCCTCCAAAAAGAGGTCCCTGGCCTACGCCCACCTGCAGAACTGCAACCTGTGCCCGCGCCGCTGCGGCGTAAACCGCTTCCACGAGACAGGGATGTGTCTGATCGGCGCCGAAACCGCAAAAGTGAATACCATCGCCCCGCATCGCGGCGAAGAACCCTGCATTCAGGGGTTTCATGGCTCGGGGAGTGTGTTTTTCTCTGGCTGTAATATGCGGTGTGTGTTTTGTCAGAATCATGTAGGCTTCCCCTCCCTTCCCCCTTGATATTGGATGCGCATTGAGAGGGTTGTGTTGATAATGGGAAAAACGTATAGGATATAGCACACAAAAAAGCCGGACACGATCTCACGCCCACCGAGCTAGCAGAGTGGTACATGAAGCTCCAAACAGTCGGGCACGTACACAACATCAACCTAGTAACACCCGAACACGTCGTCCCACAAGTCGTTCTCTCGATCCTCGATGCGCGAGACATGGGATTAAAGATCCCGATCGTGTACAACACATCCAGCTTCGACTCCCTCGACTCACTACATCTACTCGATGGGTTAGTGGATATCTACCTCCCCGACTTCAAAGTCTGGAAGGGAAGTACCGCGAAGCGACTCCTCAAAGCGGAGGAGTATGTCGAGACCGCGAAAGAGAGTATCAAGGAGATGCATCGGCAGGTAGGCGATTTGAGTTTCACCTCTGATGGGATTGCGAAGAAGGGGGTGCTGTTGAGACATTTGGTGATGCCGGGTTTAGAGGATGAGGGGAGGGAGATTGTAAGGTGGTTGGCGGAGAATGTGTCCAGGGATTTGTATGTGCATGTTATGGAGCAGTATAGGCCGGATGCGTATGTTGGGAGGAGGAAGAGGGGAAGGGGTGCAGATGGAGATGGGGATGGGGAGGTGAGGTATAAGGAGATTAATCGGGCTGTGAGGGAGGAGGAATGGAGTGGTGTTAGAGAGGCGGCGGTGCAGGCTGGGTTGTGGAGATTTTGTGAGGTTAATGAGATGGGGGGGTTTCATCTTTAGGAGGGTTGATTGATGTTGATCTAGATGTGGAGTATTGTTGTGGTCTATGTATCAGGCTTTCCCCCAAAGTAGTAGGCCGCAGTCCCGAAACTCTGTACTACTAACTGCTACAAGTTATATCACCATGAGATTACCAGCTGAACTTCTCAATATAATGAATGCTGCACCACCAAGCTCCATCCATCCAGCTGAACACATACTACCAACGGCATCATCAAAATGTCCACCCACCCCTCTCTCCCAAACGTCCACCACCCTAGCCCTAACTACTCAATACCCACCCCGTCCATATCGCGGAATCCAAGACTGCAAACGAGCCGTTCTATCCCTCTACGACCACATCTACCCTCACCCAGACAACACCACGAGCCAATACCTCTCCTACAACAATATCACCCCAGCCTTCGTTCCACTCCCTCCGCCGATTCCGCCACCGCCTAGAAAGACACGTCCGATTCACCTACTTCCCGGATATCTCCACCGTCCTTCATCAAAGTCCAAACACCCATGACAAGAAAACTCTGACTGATTCTTATCTTCTTGCTGCTTTCTGACTGGTAAAGACTGGCAGGTTTTCTACGTTAACACGACAGGCATCGCCTCTGAGCGAATGTGGGTTAGGTCTGAGGACTGTGTTTTACTATAATCTCATTCACCTCTCACTTGGAACCCACATTCACTTCTCACCTCCTTTCTAAGAATGTGTTAGAAGTTTTCGTCTCTTACTTATTCCACTCATTTCCCTCACTCCATCTCTTTCATTCTGTGGTGTATCTTATCTGTTGCTCAGACTACATAAAGCGAAGGAAAGGGATGATAATGACATTCTGCGTAGAAAGAATAAGGAAGGCGCGGCGTGCCCGCTGCAGTTATCGTCTGCTACGCGTCTTTTTCTTGTCCTGTCTCTTCCACTCTCCCGCGGTGTTGTCTAACAGCTTTCCTGTTGCCTCGTCCTGCCTTATCGAGTACAAGCGTTGTCCGAGCATACCTCACTTGCTATTTCGTCATCTAATAGTACCGGCTGCCAAGGTAGTAAGTCCCGAAAGCTTAGAGTATGCTTATGTCACTGGCAAACTCGCTAACTAGTTAATCATACTTAAGATGCTGTCCCGCTCTATGACAGACCGAGAGGAGACAGAGTCAACTCCGTTGACAGAAGTGACAGAAATAATGCCAGCTCCATCGACGAGCATGTCCTTGACGTACAATCTTCCCGACTCCGCTTCACTTGCGTTGACGGACTCATATCCCCCCCGGACCTATCGAGGATTCAATGATCTCAATCAGGCCATCATGGCCGTTTGGGACCGGCTGAGACAGCGGGACGCAGACCAATTTCTTTCATTCAAGCACATATCACCAAGCTCATTTCTTTACGTGGAGAACAACCGTAATAGGTTGCATAAACCTGTCCGAGTTACCTACTATCCGGATATTCAGACTATGATCATCAAAGTCCCGCTGCCGCCACACGAGAAGGCGCATCAGTTAATTTCAAGTAAGACATTATCCATCTTGGATAACATGGGGATCGACTGGGATCAGCAACTGCCCACAGGTTCCGCCACACACACTGCGCAATCGCGCTCCCAGAAACAAGGCGACTTCTCGTCTAGAAATAGCACTTTGAGACCCAACGAAGATAGTGACTGGCCGCCCCACTGGATCATTGAAGCTGGCCTGTCTGAATCACTCCGTCGGCTGCGTCAAGACATAAATTGGTGGATTGGAAACTCCGGTGGACAAGTCTTCTTGGCCTTGCTAGTTAGAGTTGACCGCGCGGCGAAGAAAATTACGATAGAGAAGTACTTCCCGCAGATCAGACAAAGACCCAGCACTCGAGCCCAAACCGTCGCCGGCGCGATCTATGTGAAGCGACTCGTGACCACTACTGTGATAGACATGAGGACAACTCCCCCTTCTGTCCAAGGCGGCCCATTGGTGCTGGACTTCGATCATTTGGTCGGTCGTCCGGCTGTTGCCCCTGAAACGAACGTCATTTTCGACAATGCGCGATTGGTTCAGATGGGTTATCTTGTTTTTATGGGAATACCATAAGTTGTTTGGGAGGCTCATCACCCCTTACTACTTCTGTCCCGGTCACACTCATAGTTGTGGTTTCATGGAATGCCCCTAGCGCTGCGACAGCGTGTCCAACCGCCAGCTCCGTCTGATCCATTCATAGCACCAGCCGTTGCCAGAGTTCCGAGTCGCACAACCCGGTCAGCATGGGCGGTCGAAATCGGTGGGATAGCCACTTTGGTGACTTGTACGGCTATCCAGCTACTACGGTTCTCTAAGATGGTGTAAATGTATATCATTAGTTCTTATCTTCATTCTTCTTGCTTCTGACTGATACAAACTTGTAAATTCGTAAGATCAACACTATACACACCGACCGCATCTGAGCGAGATATAGATTCGAATCTGAAGACTAGGTTGTATTAGTACAATCCCATTCACTTTTCACTTTGCCTCTCACTTGCTTCGCGCCCACATTCACTTCTCAACGACTTCCGCTACTTTCTGGGGCTGTGTTAGAAGTTTTCGTTTTCTACTTATCTCAGTTCCCTTTCTCTTTCTCCTCTTCCCCTGTCTACCAACTAAGTCATCGTCACCGACATCTTGTTTGGCACGTCGTTAGCTGTGTGGCTTGCCACGTCCTTCACTCTGTTCTTTGCTGCACCATCTCTTCTGTCATTTGCAGTGTTGTTGTAGCTGCCACCTCGCCTCCTACGCGTTTGATACCTCGCCTCCTACGCGTTTGATACCTCGTCTGCTACTCGTCTAAATTGTGCCTTTCGCCTCGTTCTGCCTGACAATCGATCACCCCAAATTCAAGTCAAAATCATCACTGCCAAGGTCAGTCCCGAAAGCTTAGAGTATGCTTATGTCACTGGCAAACCCGCTAACTAATCAACTAAGCTCAAGCAAGATGTCATCCCTTTCAATTACAGACCGCGAGGATGAGGAGTCCACTCCTCTTACTGGAGTAACGGACGGCGTATCAGGTCCATCATGTCGTCTCCGATTATGTTGCCTGCCTCAGCCACCTTAGCAATGACCGAACTCTATCCTCCTCGTACTTACAGGGGGTTTGCCGACTGCAAATCAGAGGTTTCGGCCCTCTGGGCTCGGCTGAAAGACAGAGTTGTCAATCAAGTCCTTTCTTATAAGCACGTACGACCAAGCGCGTTTGTTTACTTGGAAAAACATCGGCGGAAGCTGGGGACGTCTGTCAGGTTCACTTACCATGAGGATATTGAAACGCTCCTGATAAAGATCCTCCTGGAACCACACGAAGGAGCTCAGCGGAGCATAGCGGAGGACACAGCAACCATTCTGAGTAACATGGGTGTTGAGCGAGATGAGCGTTGGCCTACGGGTGCTGCAACGTACAAGATATCCACAACTTCCGAATCGGCTAAAGAAGGAGACAGCACGTACAGGAACTGCATCCTGAGACCTAATGAAGGAGACTGGCCCCACTAGGTGATTGAAAGTGGCTTGTCTGAGACGCTATCGCACCTGCATATGGCTGTCGATTGGTGGATCGGGAATTCAATGGGGCACGTGAACCTGGTCCTGCTTATGGACATTTCACGGGCCAGAAAAACCCTCACCATCGAGAAATACGTCCCGTATGCGCGGCAACATCCGCGAACGAGAGCGCAAGCGGCCGGGACTGTTCACGTTCGTCGGTGCGTTTCCACCATCGTCGTCAATATGAAGGCCAACCCTCCTTCCGTCCAGGGTGCCCCGCTGATTCTGGAGTTCGATAGAATTATCGGACGGCCTGCCGTTGGACAAGAGCATGATGTAGTTTTTGATTCTGCTGCGCTACTGGCAATAGCGAGGGGTGTTTTTCGAGGAATGTCGTAGGTTGGTTGAGGTGTGAAAGTCGGGGGATTAAGGAAGTGAATACCAGTTGAGTTAGTAAGGTGAAGGGTATTATTGTCACCATTTTCATGGTCGCTCCGAGTCAATAGACCGATTCACAGATCCTTGGTAAATTGCGTTTAGTCGATTCATTCAGGGGATATCTCATTGAGCAGTATAGAGACACTTCATTGAAACATACCAGTTAAAGGGACTCTAGATAAATATAGTGGAATCATCCTGTGAAGTACCCCAGCACTATCCTCTCATTAACTTTCTCTACTTATCTATAAAAGCTCCGCTGCCACCCACCTTAATCCTTTTCTCTTCCTACTTCCCTCTATCATGTGCTACAAATGTAGAAAAGCCTTTATCTACTATATCTAGAATATAGCCCGAGTTATGATAGACATCACTTAAACGAATATATCGGGAAGTTCATCCTTCCTCGTTGATATGCGGCTGCTTTAGCCATTCTTATACTGTTCATCCAGATTATCCCCATAATACCAAGCAAAGCCCAGTCCCAGAACTAAGAGGTGGAGGAGTTCAGCGATGCCGAAGACGAGGCAGCGCCAAACGCGGCACTTCTAGTCCTTCTTCCACAAATAACGCACATGGTGGAGGGTACCCGGTCTCGAATTGGTCCTCAACAAGACTCATCTTATCGCCGATCTTTAAATATGGGCGACAATATAACGCCTATACCGATAATGCGCTGAGAAGGGCCGGTGACTTGGAGCTACCAGAAGAAAAGTTCCAGCATGGTATCAAACATACATCTCCAGAGTGTCGCATGCGAGTCTCAATTACCCGTGATGGCTGAACAAGACGCCATGATATTCTCGCACAGAATTGGAGAAAGCTAGATGACACAGGTTGTGAATACACAAACCCGAGTAAGACAATCATCGTGAAACTCCTGTCCCTGGGCCCTATGTCATCCAGGAGACCGACTACGATCAGATCAGATCAAAAAGGACATAGCATAGCCCAGCACAGCTCCTCGGCTACATGGCGATTGACTTGAAGTCTTTACCTAATAAAGACTAGAGGATGAGGCCCAGGAGGCTATGATATAGGGTAGGGGATGTGGTGAGGGATGTATCGCTGGCGATATGTTGATATGTAGACAACATGGCCTGTTTCTCACGGAACGTTCAAGAATGATATGGGGTTAGATTCTACGGTATCTAATCTTGCATATCAAGGACTCAAGTATACAAACAATCTTTATCTCCCTATGGGGGCCATCTTCTCCAGCAAATCGACAACAGCTACACGAGCCAATCGTTTTCGTCAAAGCATGACATCGAACCCCGGACTGACAGAAGGTTCTTAGTCAATAAAGCCCGTTGTATGTACGGACTTCGCGGAAATTAACACTCTAATCAAAATGACTCAGTGTGGGCCTTTGGGACAGCAGCACACATGATTGTCAAGGACAAACCGACCGTCGTCTAAAAACATATGCTTCAGATCAATAGAAAAAAAGGGTTAGGAACTGCAAGTTTGAAGCAGCGGTGCTGTCTTCCGAATCGACTAAAGAAGCAGACATTGCGTCTAAAATCCAGCCACTGAGTCGAAACGACGTCGATTAACCCCACTGGGTTATCGAGACGGGATGATCAGAAGCGGTGATGTATATGTTGTGCTTGTTGTGTTAGAGGAGGTAATGCTCCTCAAGACAATGGAATTTGAATAATCACAAGAAGAGGCTAATTCTACATACAAAAATCGACCATTGAGTCCAAGTGACCAGCTAGAATGGCCACATTGGGCGATTGAATGCGGGTTATCAGAATCACTTCTCCGATTATGGGAAGACGTGGATTGGTAGATAGGCAACACGGGGGACGAGGTCATTCTAGTATGAGTTTGGATTTGGTTGATGATACTGATCAAGGGCACATGTCTGAGACTGATTTTTACTTAACAGATTCCCATTCACTCATACCTGGCGATCGAGATCGTGATATGCCATAAGCATATGTTTGTCAATGGCCCTGTGCCAGAATGGGCGTTCTTTTTCCTCACCGGTGACCTCTAGAAGAGTCAGACATTCCACAAGGCTATACATAATACTCAAGCTGCATTCCGACCTGGTGCTTGCCTTCTTTTCTCCCGGCCTCGCACAGCACCATCCCAGATTCGAGGGAGATGATAAATGCCGACAGGCTTTGGTAGCTCTCTCTAACCTGGAGGTTCATCCTATGTTGACCGACGAATCCAACGTAACGTTGTGTTCAAAACTTCTCTCATACTGCGCATGTAACCCTAAAACCAAAGGACGGCAGCAGTGGGAAAGAAGAAGAAGCCGAGTATGACCGCCTACAACCTGTTCCCCGTGAGCTAGGGGCACGATCAGGATCATGTTATATGTACCTATACATACTTGATTCTCTAGGATAACTGCTTACTGAGTACTCAGTTCTTGTTTCTGAGTAGTTATATGTATTTACTAAGCCGCTTATCCTTCCTCTATTCTGTGCGGGTAGTTCAACAGCTATATTTAATAATATCTCTAAAATTTATCTAAGCCTGTTTAAATACTGGCTCAAATACCTGCTCGAGATAATATAAGTGAGCTATAAGAGTTCAGCTTGCCTTCTGTTAGTAAAGTTAAGTAAAAGAAAATTTGAGAACAATATTAATAAATCTTTAAGAACAGCTTCGGAGAAAGGTATAAACTCCAAATTCATGCCTGACTTGGCAGCACTCCAACATCACTAACCAATCACCTCCTGTTTACTCCTTGCCTACATACAAAGCGATCAACTATTCCCAACATATCTTCTAGTCGATCACTCCGCCAGCATCGAGCCACGAGACCAAAAACCGGCTGAAAGTACGCCTTAGCAATATACAGCACGTGACCTGAACGACAAGGATCAGGTTCTATTTTCCTGTGAGTTTGGATACCATTTGTGGCCATATACTCACTTCAGCCCAAAATGCACAAGACGGTTTCTCTACAGCTTGCAGGAATAGCTTGCCAGAACCTGATTACACAGGTCATCTGAGCCTTCTACAAATGGGAGCTAAGCAGTATTCTAGAAGGATTTCGCCCCTGCGGCTGAGCCTGCCAACTCAGCATGACCCCGCCCACCTCTCTTGTTTGTTTGGCAATTTGTAGACATTTCATCATCATCAAATACAATATATACAATATACAAACTCGCTAAAACGGATAGAAACGATGCGCCTTCTCAGGGTGTCAGACTTGAAGCTGGTTGAGTTCATGTCTGATACTATCCCTCCGTACGCCATCCTGTCGCATACCTGGGTCCATGATCAAGAGGTGATCTTTGAGGACATGCTCAGCGGCACTGCGGAAAACAAGCCATGCTTTACCAAACTCAAAAAGACAGCAGAACAAGCTGCCACTGACGGCTTCGAATACGTGTGGATCGACAACTGCTGCATCGATAAAAGAAGCAGTGCGGAGCTGTCCGAAGCCTTGAATTCTATGTATGCCTGGTATCAAGCCGCCAGTATATGCTACGCCTATTTATCCGACGTACCAACAGATGTTCGTATCCAGGACAGAGGTTCTGAATTCGCTCGGTGTAGATGGTTTACTCGCGGGTTCACGCTCCAGGAGCTATTGGCACCACGAGAAGTGGTCTTTTTTTCCTCCGAATGGAAGGCCATTGGAAGGAAGACAGAGTTATACGAAGTACTATCCACAATCACGGGTATTGGAATTCAATATCTTTCCCAGGAGGTCCCGCTGTCCTCGGCGTCGATCGCCAGCAGAATGTCCTGGGCAGCAAAAAGAAATACATCTCGCCCGGAGGATGTCGCATATTGCCTCCTGGGAATATTCAACATACACATGCCCCTGTTATACGGTGAAGGAGAGCAAGCATATATCCGGCTCCAAGAAGAGATCATGCGTCAGTCGGACGACCATTCAATCTTCGCATGGCGGGATTTAGATGCTCTTCCTAATACCCTCCATGGTCTACTGGCCCGTTCACCAAGGCATTTCAGCTTCTCAGGGAAGTTCATTCCGTATAGCAACTGGGAGTCTCTTCCTCCCTATGGAATGACGAATCGTGGTCTGCAAATTGCCCTATTTCTTAAGAAATGTTTTGGGGACGAAGACAATTACATTGCAGTTATAAATTGCCCTGTACCACCAAGCTACAAGGACGGTACCTTCTTGGCCATATTCCTTAAAAAGCTGTCATCCGGCGATGAGCAGTATGTGCGGTCAAACATAGGAAATCTCGCCCACATTCAGGACAGTCGCGGAGATCTAAAAGTAATTTTCGTTCGACAATCTTTGCAGAATTCCTCCTTGTCGGCGGGAACCGGTGTCTATCCGTACCAAGTGGCCCAGCTCCGAGAAGGCCCTCAGTCGTATTACAAGCAAGTAAACATTGCCTATGAAGCTGTGAGAGTCATTGCACCCGAATCAGTGGTATCAAGCCAAAAGAATCTTCAGCACTTCAGATCAACACTTGGCGACCCTGCCAGAACTCCAGAATTTCTCCTTAAGGCTCAGAAGGCCCGCGAAGATTGGTTACCCAAATATTTTCATAATGAGTTTCCGGTGCCTAAAGTGGCGAGCAAATTAGCAGGCGCTATCTTTTTCGAAAGATCTA